CATGTAAACTTTCTCTGTCGACTCAAATAGACGAATCTGTGATCTCCGTGGCGAAAATCCCTGAGGTGGGATTCTTCAGACGGTCAGTAAAAGTACACTTTCTTTCTTTCTAATGTGGGAGGAGCTTGTTGATGAAGGTGACTTCCTGGGAGGGACAGAAAATACCTGACGCCAGCCGTCGGACTCCTGCACGTCGCTTTGGCGGCTGCAGATATTTGTGGCTTTCCAGCGTGATTAGACGGATGCGAGTGGCGTGCGAACGCATCATCACACCAAACAGCGATTAGCAAAGGTCGTCGAGCTTCACCTCCGATGTGACAGCAGCAAAGCGGCGTGGTCAGGAGGTCGTTTGAGGACATTTTGGGATCAGCCCACAGATTCGGACGACTCATGTCGCCGCCTGTCGCTTCAACTAAAACAGCTCACAAGTCACTGCTTCCTCCTGTGCTTTTATTCTGAAGTTTGGGCTGAAGCGGTCTGACGTTTCCTGCAGCGTCGGCATCATTGAACCGTTTTTAATGCACGACTGCTCTGCCTGGAAATAAGCAGCCGTGCATCAGCTTCAGTTTTGGTTATTAAGCAGCTGTTTGTCCGTTTTCACTGGACTAGCTCGGCGTTTATATCAGGAAGTGCTGGCGTGCACACTGGGGGCTTCCACTGGGATCAGCTCGCGTTCCCTTTTATGTTTAAGATGAGGAGTCGTTTTTATGAATGAAAGCGGCTCCTTTGAATTTCGCCTCCCTCTGCGATCCGATGTGGAGCGCCGACGCGTTTCTATAAATGAAACAAAGGCTGATGGGAGTTCTGAACAAGTGGGTTACCCAGTTTGTAGAGTGAAAGGTCTCTGAGTGGCTGCACTTCCTGTCAGATGGCTTCATGTCAGGAGACCAGATATCCACCTGGATTTAATCCAGAAGGAAGTTTTATTTAAAATTTTATCTGCTGAAACAGAAGTGAAGGTTTGTAGCTGCGACCTCCGTCAGTCTGGAAACTGCGAGACTCACAGGAGACAAAGTGCAGCCTCTGGTTTACAGTTTATAGAACAATTATGAATAAATCATCAAATCAATGCCTCAAAATCAGCAGTGAATCCATCCTCTTTTTTCCTCAGAGCTTCAGTTCATCCTGGAACTATTAACGATCATGATGACAGCTCAGTACAGACCCACAGCAGGTCCTGAACCTGAAAGCCAGAGTGGAAATGCTGATCGCTCTCTGACCTCGGGAGAGAAGACGAACGCCGTCCTGGCTGAAACGCCTTCAGAACAACGAGCCTTTTAACGTTCTGGTAACTGCAGTTTGGGATGCGCCAACAGATCCTTCCTTGTGAATAACAGGACAGGGCTAACCTCTGTACCACCGCGCTGTTACAACTTAATATACAACACCTTGCTTTGGTGTCACTCACCGAAAGGATGTGGAGAGAAAAACAGAATCTGAAAATGATCCATCCACAGAGGAAGTCATTCACGACCAGTTCAATTTTATTTATAACGTGCTTTATATTGTAAGGACCCTACAATGACACCGAGGAAACCCCGACAATCAGAGGACCCACTTTGAGCTAGCAGATCCTTTCCATCCTGGTTGGCGTATCAGATGACTTTCAGGCTAACGGGAGTGAAAAGCGGCGTGACTGAAGCGGAGCGTGAGGCCGTCAGACTCACCTCTGGCAGGCAGCTCGAGCAACGCTCAGTAAAATCTATAATTATGAGTGAAGACGCCCCCGACGCGCTGCAGATGCCTTCCTACACAAAGGCCCTGAAACATCCCACCAAGTTCACCGCCATCCTCAGACGCCATGGCAACAGACGAGCGTCACAGAGCTCAGACGAGGCTCTCATCTCGACATCTGCATCATCGAAGGCTGAATGAGCTCAGGCTGAATACCTGCTTCAGTCACACCTGAGCTTCTGTCAGGAGGACAGATGAACCTCGGTGGAGGCTGAAATTACTGCTTCTGTATATTACAGGAAACAATCTGTCGCTTTATCAGATAATCAACAATAAATAATAATTACTGTGATTAAAGATGTTTTTTGGGAGACTTTTTTTAATCTCGTCACAGGTATAATTTGGTAGCAATGTCAGGTGTTGTAAACGCTACAGGCCATTTTTATTTTAGTCATAATCAACTGTCAGCCTGCAGTTCCTCTGCTGGACAGCAGGGGCAGCAGTGAGTCAGTTACAGTAGAAGTAACCATGTTTACGGCCTGATACACAGACTGTTCGTCTCTGTGGATAATTTCCCCTTCATACCACCTGCACGGGGAGGATGTTGTTATAACTCAACTCCAAAGTTTGCATTTATTAGGGGCGTGGCCTCTGACAGGTGACCGCAGCAGCAGGGCCGTCGCTCATTTTCAGAAGGAAAGTTTCCCGTTGTCCAGATGCCGATGCATCGATAGCCTCGAGTGAGGAGCGACCCAGATCAACGTGTTTGACATGAGTGGAGCGTCCTACTTCCTGTGTGTGTGTGTGTGTGTGTGTGTGTGTGTGTGTGTGTGTG